GCTGGGCTTCCTTAGTACTTGGAACGGAGACGTCCTGGGAATCGGGGGTGTCGTAATCTTTTTTTAATGCTTTGGCAAAAATTTGAGTCTAAGAAAACACACTTGAGTCTATAGAAAAAATTATTTAAGTTTTTTATAAATTGTAGTTTATCATGTACATACCTTTTACTTGAGTATAATTGAGTAGATAATGATTGCCTGGGGGAACCCTATATTATATACATACCTTTTACTTGAGTATAATTGAGTAAATGATTTTATACTTGAGTAAATGATTTTTACTTGAGTATACTTGAGTAGATAATTATTGCCTGGGGGAACCCTATTACCCTACGACACTTGGTCAATTGCACTTTGGTCTACTTTGCCTGAGGCAATTTTTAATCGGATCGTCACAGACTCATAAACCAAAAATGCCTGGTGAAATTTGATTGCCTGGGGGAACCCTATTACCCTACGACACTTGGTCAATTGCACTTTGGTCTACTTTGCCTGAGGCAATTTTTAATCGGATCGTCACAGACTCATAAACCAAAAATGCCTGGTGAAATTTGATTGCCTGGGGGAACCCTATTACCCTACGACACTTGGTCAATTGCACTTTGGTCTACTTTGCCTGAGGTCAATTGCACTTTGGTCTACTTTGCCTGAGGCAATTTTTAATCGGATCGTCACAGACTCATAAACCAAAAATGCCTGGTGAAATTTGATTGCCTGGGGGAACCCTATTACCCTACGACACTTGGTCAATTGCACTTTGGTCTACTTTGCCTGAGGCAATTTTTAATCGGATCGTCACAGACTCATAAACCAAAAATGCCTGGTGAAATTTGATTGCCTGGGGGAATTGATTGCCTGGGGGAAATTTGATTGCCTCTTCACAAAGTCAGACTAGAGTCAAGCTCAACAGGGTCTTCTTTCCCCGCTAAATTTGCCAAGCCCGTTCCCTTGGCTGTGGTTTCGCTAGATAGTAGATAGGGACAGTGGGAATCTCGTTGATCCATTCGTGCGCGTCGGTAGTTAGCCGACGAGGCATTTGGCTACCTTAAGAGAGTCATAGTTACTCCCGCCGTTTACCCGCGCTTAATCAAGTTTCCTTGGCTTAACATTCAGAGCACTGGGCAGAAATCAGACACGGTCAACGTCCTGCAAAGACCATCCGTCTCCTCTGTTTTAATTAGACAGTCGGATTCCCGGAGTTCGTGCCAGTTCTAAACTGGTTGTTCAGCGCCAATCGAAGTACTATATCTTTCGAAATAGTACGCAGCTGAAGCGCTCCACAAGCAGTCCTCACTACTAGTCCACAAGCGCCGCCCCGAAGGGAAGATCAAGCAGCCACGAGCAAAGTCCACCTGTTTCACACAACAGCCCGACTGACCCAACCTTTAGAGCCAATTCTTTTCCCGAAGTTACGAATCTAATTTGCCGACTTCCCTTACCTACATTATTCTATCGACTAGAGGCTGTTCACCTTGGAGACCTGCTGCGGATATGGGTACGATCAGGCTGGAGATTTTAAATTGCCTCCCTCGTATTTTCACGGCTCATGTGGAGCACACGGGACACAACAGGAACCGCTGCGCTTTACGAGACCAGCATCCCTATCTCAGGCTGAGCCACTTCCAGGGACATGATCTCTAAACCAGAAAAGAGAACTCTGGCCCGGACTCCACACGAGGTCTACGAGTTCGTTTGCGTCACCGCGCAAAGTAATCCTTGCGGATCACCATCTCCCATGCCTGGTGTGGGAATATTAACCCACTTCCCTTTCGGCAACCGAGTAGACAATATACCGTTAAGTATCTCATCTCCCCGCAGTGTCTAGACGGCTTTAGCCGGTGCCTTAGGATCGACTGACCCACATTCAACTACTGTTCACGTGGAACCCTTCTCCACTTCAGTCTTCAAGGATCTCACTTGAATATTTGCTACTACCACCAAGATCTGCACTAGTGGAAGCTCCAGCTGGGTGCACACCCAAAGCCTTCATTGCAACCACTACGACCCTCTTACACGTCATTGCAAGACTTTTCACGGAAAATACAAGCATATGACGGCAGAGTATAGGTGGCCCGCTCCAGCGCCATCCATTTTCAGGGCTAGTTGATTCGGCAGGTGAGTTGTTACACACTCCTTAGCGGATTCCGACTTCCATGGCCACCGTCCTGCTGTCTGTATCAACCAACACCTTTTATGGTGTCTAATGAGCGGGCACTTTGGCGGGCACATCCACGAGCCTAGTGATCCACCGGAAAGGCTAGGAATTTTGTTTTTTTTAAAATATAAAAAAAGAGTGCTGGCGTCCTCACTTAAGAGGCTCATTAAGTCTTAAACTCATTATAGTCCTAACATGTCACCACATATACAGCCACGGACGTTCACAACTGTATCAGCAACACCTAGACACCAGCGACAGCCGTTACACAACAATTATTTCATTGCGATTCAAAATTGAACATCACATAAAGTAATGATCCAGCAGCAGGTTCACCTACAGCTACCTTGTTACGACTTTTGCCCGGTTGAAGCCACTGCGATTAAATTGGTTTCCATCAAAATAATTTAGATAAATTAAATCAACGGTCCCCAAATTTCTCGAAATGGCTCAGTCCCGGGCAGCGACGGGCGGTGTGTACAAAGGGCAGGGACGTAATCAACGCGAGCTGATGACTCGCACTTACTTGGAATTCCTCGTTCACGGAAAATAATTGCAATTTCCGATCCCAATCACGGCAAATTTTCAATGGTTTACCCGCCCCTTTCAGGGTAGGACAAGCACGTTGATTTTGCCAGTGTAGCGCGCGTGCAGCCCCGGACATCTAAGGGCATCACAGACCTGTTATTGCTCAATTTCTTTCGGCTGAACGCCGCAAATCCCTCTAAGAAGCTGTATACACAAAGAGTATGTACCAACTATTTAGTAGGTTAGAGTCTCGCTCGTTATCGGAATAAACCAGACAAATCACTCCACGAACTAAGAACGGCCATGCACCACCATCCACTGAATCATGAAAAAGCTATCAATCTGTCAATCCTCACAGTGTCCGGGCCGGGTGAGTTTCCCCGTGTTGAGTCAAATTAAGCCGCAGGCTCCACTCCTGGTGGTGCCCTTCCGTCAATTCCTTTAAGTTTCAGCTTTGCAACCATACTTCCCCCGGAACCGGAAGACTTTCGTTTCCGGGAAGCTCCCCACCAAGGCAATATAATTTCCATCAGCGGATCGCTAGTTGGCATCGTTTACGGTCAGAACTAGGGCGGTATCTGATCGCCTTCGAACCTCTGACTTTCGTTCTTGATTAATGAAGACATTCTTGGCAAATGCTTTCGCTGTAGTTTGTCTGGCCACGGTCCAAGAATTTCACCTCTCACGGGGCCATACAAATGCCCCCGTTTGTCTCTGTTAACCATTATCTCAGTCCGTAAAACCAATAAAACTGAACCGAAATCGTTTTCTATTATTCCATGCACGATCATTCAAGCGAAAACGCCTGTTTGAAGCACTCTGATTTGTTCAAAGTAAACTTGCAATGACTGTTAAAAATCCTGTTAAGGACTCAAAACCGAACATTACGATAAATCGATAACACCCAGAAACACCCGAAGGGTTCCAAGGTACCGATACGAATCCAACTACGAGCTTTTTAACCGCAGCAATAATTCTATGTATTAGCAGAGCTGGAATTACCGCGGCTGCTGGCACCAGACTTGCCCTCTGCTTGATACTCGTTAAAGGGTTTAAATTGTACCCATTCCGATGACCGGCCTCAAAGAGAACAGTTTCGTTATTTCTCGTCACTACCTCCTCGAGCCGAGAGTGGGTAATTTGCGCGCCTGCTGCCATCCTTAGACGTAGTGGCCATTTCTCAGGCCCCTTCTCCGGAGTCGAACCCTGATCCTCCGTTATCCGTCACCACCACGGGAGTCGATTATGCTCCCGTCAAGTTGATAAAGTGGACGCTTGAAAGACACGCCGCCGGCACAAGGCCATGCGGTCAGCTTAGTTATTCTGAGTCAACAAGAAGCAGCCGAAGCCGCGTGGTTTTGTTCTAATAAATGCGCTTTTCCGAGAGGACAAAGCTCTGGTGCATGTATTAGCTCTAGCTTTTCCACAGTTATCCATTTAGATAATCAAGATCAAGTAAATCATGGCCATTGTAATGAGCCGTTCGCGGTTTCTCGTTAAAACGATTAAACTTATACATGCATGGCTTAATCTTTGAAATGAACACATCAGTTCAGGCAGGATCAACCAGATATCTTTTATTTAGGTAGTTAGCAGAGCTGGAATTACCCAGTCTGCGGGTAATTAAGCTGTCATTAATATTGATTATATTGATAATTTTAGAATAAAATCTCGAAAATAATCTGAAATTAAAAAATTAATGACAGCTTATTATATATTTAATTTCCTTTGCAAAAGATATCTAAATTATTTACAATTTATCAGCGGCACTTTCACAAAAGTTATCAATGGCAATTCCTGACAATTGTCTGGAGCCAAATAAATATTGCAGCTGGAGAAAAATTAGGATTATAAAGCTTATGATTATTATCAGATTTAGAATAAAGCTGCTTTAAAATATCTGATAATAAAGCTTAAAATAATAATAACATTAAATTTTTTAAAAAAATAAAGCTTATAATAATAAACTTTAAATTTAAAAAAAGATTAAAGTTTATTATTATAAGCTTTATTTTTTTTGAAAAATTTAATTCTTCAAAAAAATTTTTTTAATCCTAATTTTTCTCCCACACATTTTTATAATTGCCCGTTTTCTCTTTGCCTTAAACCATTCCCGCGAACAGCGAACAACAAATAGCCCCGCCCACTTTGCCTTAGAGAATTTTTTCTTAAATATTGAGAAATTGAAAACACAGTGATTACGACCATACCGCGTTGAAAGCACGCCATCCCGTCCGATCTGGCAAGTTAAGCAACGCTGGGCTTCCTTAGTACTTGGAACGGAGACGTCCTGGGAATCGGGGGTGTCGTAATCTTTTTTTAATGCTTTGGCAAAAATTTGAGTCTAAGAAAACACACTTGAGTCTATAGAAAAAATTATTTAAGTTTTTTATAAATTGTAGTTTATCATGTACATACCTTTTACTTGAGTATAATTGAGTAGATAATGATTGCCTGGGGGAACCCTATATTATATACATACCTTTTACTTGAGTATAATTGAGTAAATGATTTTATACTTGAGTAAATGATTTTTACTTGAGTATACTTGAGTAGATAATTATTGCCTGGGGGAACCCTATTACCCTACGACACTTGGTCAATTGCACTTTGGTCTACTTTGCCTGAGGCAATTTTTAATCGGATCGTCACAGACTCATAAACCAAAAATGCCTGGTGAAATTTGATTGCCTGGGGGAACCCTATTACCCTACGACACTTGGTCAATTGCACTTTGGTCTACTTTGCCTGAGGCAATTTTTAATCGGATCGTCACAGACTCATAAACCAAAAATGCCTGGTGAAATTTGATTGCCTGGGGGAACCCTATTACCCTACGACACTTGGTCAATTGCACTTTGGTCTACTTTGCCTGAGGTCAATTGCACTTTGGTCTACTTTGCCTGAGGCAATTTTTAATCGGATCGTCACAGACTCATAAACCAAAAATGCCTGGTGAAATTTGATTGCCTGGGGGAACCCTATTACCCTACGACACTTGGTCAATTGCACTTTGGTCTACTTTGCCTGAGGCAATTTTTAATCGGATCGTCACAGACTCATAAACCAAAAATGCCTGGTGAAATTTGATTGCCTGGGGGAATTGATTGCCTGGGGGAAATTTGATTGCCTCTTCACAAAGTCAGACTAGAGTCAAGCTCAACAGGGTCTTCTTTCCCCGCTAAATTTGCCAAGCCCGTTCCCTTGGCTGTGGTTTCGCTAGATAGTAGATAGGGACAGTGGGAATCTCGTTGATCCATTCGTGCGCGTCGGTAGTTAGCCGACGAGGCATTTGGCTACCTTAAGAGAGTCATAGTTACTCCCGCCGTTTACCCGCGCTTAATCAAGTTTCCTTGGCTTAACATTCAGAGCACTGGGCAGAAATCAGACACGGTCAACGTCCTGCAAAGACCATCCGTCTCCTCTGTTTTAATTAGACAGTCGGATTCCCGGAGTTCGTGCCAGTTCTAAACTGGTTGTTCAGCGCCAATCGAAGTACTATATCTTTCGAAATAGTACGCAGCTGAAGCGCTCCACAAGCAGTCCTCACTACTAGTCCACAAGCGCCGCCCCGAAGGGAAGATCAAGCAGCCACGAGCAAAGTCCACCTGTTTCACACAACAGCCCGACTGACCCAACCTTTAGAGCCAATTCTTTTCCCGAAGTTACGAATCTAATTTGCCGACTTCCCTTACCTACATTATTCTATCGACTAGAGGCTGTTCACCTTGGAGACCTGCTGCGGATATGGGTACGATCAGGCAGGAGATTTTAAATTGCCTCCCTCGTATTTTCACGGCTCATGTGGAGCACACGGGACACAACAGGAACCGCTGCGCTTTACGAGACCAGCATCCCTATCTCAGGCTGAGCCACTTCCAGGGACATGATCTCTAAACCAGAAAAGAGAACTCTGGCCCGGACTCCACACGAGGTCTACGAGTTCGTTTGCGTCACCACGCAAAGTAATCCTTGCGGATCACCATCTCCCATGCCTGGTGTGGGAATATTAACCCACTTCCCTTTCGGCAACCGAGTAGACAATATACCGTTAAGTATCTCATCTCCCCGCAGTGTCTAGACGGCTTTAGCCGGTGCCTTAGGATCGACTGACCCACATTCAACTACTGTTCACGTGGAACCCTTCTCCACTTCAGTCTTCAAGGATCTCACTTGAATATTTGCTACTACCACCAAGATCTGCACTAGTGGAAGCTCCAGCTGGGTGCACACCCAAAGCCTTCATTGCAACCACTACGACCCTCTTACACGTCATTGCAAGACTTTTCACGGAAAATACAAGCATATGACGGCAGAGTATAGGTGGCCCGCTCCAGCGCCATCCATTTTCAGGGCTAGTTGATTCGGCAGGTGAGTTGTTACACACTCCTTAGCGGATTCCGACTTCCATGGCCACCGTCCTGCTGTCTGTATCAACCAACACCTTTTATGGTGTCTAATGAGCGGGCACTTTGGCACCTCAACTCCGCGTTTGGTTCATCCCACATCGCCAGTTCTGCTTACCAAAAATGGCCCACTTGGAACTCGTATTCAACGCCAAAGTTCAAAATCAAGCAACTTTGACATCATACCCATTTAGAGTTTGAGAATAGGTTAAGAACATTTCGTTCCCAAGTCCTCTAATCATTCGCTTTACCGAGTATAACTTCTAATGAGCTCCAGCTATCCTGGGGGAAACTTCAGAGGGAACCAGCTACTAGATGGTTCGATTAGTCTTTCGCCCCTATACCCAAGTCAGACGATCGATTTGCACGTCAGAACCGCTTCGGACTTCCACCAGAGTTTCCTCTGGCTTCGTCCTGCTCAGGAATAGTTCACCATCTTTCGGGTCTCACCGCGTACGCTCTTCCTCCACCCTACTGTAAACAGTTAGAATGGGGCCATGCTGCCCTTTTTTACAAGATCGCACGTCAGACTCTAAAGAGCCATTTACTTTCATTTCGCTTTTAGGTTTTTAACACCCAAAAACTTGCGCACACGATAAACTCCTTGGTCCGTGTTTCAAGACGGGTCGGATAGATGACCGGCTTTTACATGGGGAGCGAGTACGAGAGCATTAACTGGACCGATCTAAATGAAAAGCACGTGTCGCATGCGACCGTAACTTACAATCAGATCGAACCAATAAATGCCCGTAAGCCATACTCAAATGTCCAAGACAAAAGATGCTAACGCTGTTTGGGTACCAGCAAGCTGGCCTCAAAACGGCGGTTACAAATCTGCCTCAAACATCCCCAAGCACCAAACAAGCAAATGCATCACAGAAAATTATGATGCTTCTTTCTGTCCCAATCTGGAGCTCAGAGATCACAACATAAAAATAATGTAAATGAATACTTGAAAGATACGCCGACTCTATCCGTTTCCACCTCTCCGGTTTCACGTCCTCTTTAACTCTCTCTTCAAAGTGCTTTGCAACTTTCCTTCACAGTACTTGTTTGCTATCGGTCTCGTGGCAATATTGAGTCTTAGATGAAGTTTACCACCGACTTTGGGCTGCGATCCCAAACAACCCGACTCTAAAGCACGTAAATATCGATCAATTATCTCAATGTACAGGACTTGCACCTTCTGTGGAACCCCTGTCAAGGGGACTTATTTGAGACAAAAGATTAAAAATTACGGCTTATACGCTACACCTCATAATGCCTTAGGCAAAATGATTTAGCGATGGACATTTCCCTATTCACTCGCCGTTACTAGGGGAATCCTGTTTAGTTTCTTTTCCTCCGCTTACTGATATGCTTAAGTTCAGCGGGTGCTCTCGACTGAGTTCAGGTCAAAAAATCAATATTGTTGATGATACATGCGAACAATTAAACATATCTAACAATCAATTTAAAACATAAAGAAGCCACAAAAGCAATTATACAATAAAGCTTTCGCTTTGAAAGATAATGACCCTGAACCAGACATAGCAAAGGGTTTGACCCCTATGCGGCAATATGCGTTCAAAACTTTTATGCTCAAGGCTGCTGCAGTTCGCAAAACTTATCGCAGATTGCTGCGTTCTTCATCGATCCACGAGCCTAGTGATCCACCGGAAAGGCTAGGAATTTTGTTTTTTTTTAAAATATAGAGAAAAAAAGAGTGCTGGCGTCCTCACTTAAGAGGCTCATTAAGTCTTAAACTCATTATAGTCCTAACATGTCACCACATATACAGCCACGGACGTTCACAACTGTATCAGCAACACCTAGACACCAGCGACAGCCGTTACACAACAATTATTTCATTGCGATTCAAAATTGAACATCACATAAAGTAATGATCCAGCAGCAGGTTCACCTACAGCTACCTTGTTACGACTTTTGCCCGGTTCAAGCCACTGCGATTAAATTGGTTTCCATCAAAATAATTTAGATAAATTAAATCAACGGTCCCCAAATTTCTCGAAATGGCTCAGTCCCGGGCAGCGACGGGCGGTGTGTACAAAGGGCAGGGACGTAATCAACGCGAGCTGATGACTCGCACTTACTTGGAATTCCTCGTTCACGGAAAATAATTGCAATTTCCGATCCCAATCACGGCAAATTTTCAATGGTTTACCCGCCCCTTTCAGGGTAGGACAAGCACGTTGATTTTGCCAGTGTAGCGCGCGTGCAGCCCCGGACATCTAAGGGCATCACAGACCTGTTATTGCTCAATTTCTTTCGGCTGAACGCCGCAAATCCCTCTAAGAAGCTGTATACACAAAGGGTATGTACCAGCTATTTAGTAGGTTAGAGTCTCGCTCGTTATCGGAATAAACCAGACAAATCACTCCACGAACTAAGAACGGCCATGCACCACCATCCACTGAATCATGAAAAAGCTATCAATCTGTCAATCCTCACAGTGTCCGGGCCGGGTGAGTTTCCCCGTGTTGAGTCAAATTAAGCCGCAGGCTCCACTCCTGGTGGTGCCCTTCCGTCAATTCCTTTAAGTTTCAGCTTTGCAACCATACTTCCCCCGGAACCGGAAGACTTTCGTTTCCGGGAAGCTCCCCACCAAGGCAATATAATTTCCATCAGCGGATCGCTAGTTGGCATCGTTTACGGTCAGAACTAGGGCGGTATCTGATCGCCTTCGAACCTCTGACTTTCGTTCTTGATTAATGAAGACATTCTTGGCAAATGCTTTCGCTGTAGTTTGTCTGGCCACGGTCCAAGAATTTCACCTCTCACGGGGCCATACAAATGCCCCCGTTTGTCTCTGTTAACCATTATCTCAGTCCGTAAAACCAATAAAACTGAACCGAAATCGTTTTCTATTATTCCATGCACGATCATTCAAGCGAAAACGCCTGTTTGAAGCACTCTGATTTGTTCAAAGTAAACTTGCAATGACTGTTAAAAATCCTGTTAAGGACTCAAAACCGAACATTACGATAAATCGATAACACCCAGAAACACCCGAAGGGTTCCAAGGTACCGATACGAATCCAACTACGAGCTTTTTAACCGCAGCAATAATTCTATGTATTAGCAGAGCTGGAATTACCGCGGCTGCTGGCACCAGACTTGCCCTCTGCTTGATACTCGTTAAAGGGTTTAAATTGTACCCATTCCGATGACCGGCCTCAAAGAGAACAGTCTCGTTATTTCTCGTCACTACCTCCTCGAGCCGAGAGTGGGTAATTTGCGCGCCTGCTGCCATCCTTAGACGTAGTGGCCATTTCTCAGGCCCCTTCTCCGGAGTCGAACCCTGATCCTCCGTTATCCGTCACCACCACGGGAGTCGATTATGCTCCCGTCAAGTTGATAAAGTGGACGCTTGAAAGACACGCCGCCGGCACAAGGCCATGCGGTCAGCTTAGTTATTCTGAGTCAACAAGAAGCAGCCGAAGCCGCGTGGTTTTGTTCTAATAAATGCGCTTTTCCGAGAGGACAAAGCTCTGGTGCATGTATTAGCTCTAGCTTTTCCACAGTTATCCATTTAGATAATCAAGATCAAGTAAATCATGGCCATTGTAATGAGCCGTTCGCGGTTTCTCGTTAAAACGATTAAACTTATACATGCATGGCTTAATCTTTGAAATGAACACATCAGTTCAGGCAGGATCAACCAGATATCTTTTATTTAGGTAGTTAGCAGAGCTGGAATTACCCAGTCTGCGGGTAATTAAGCTGTCATTAATATTGATTATATTGATAATTTTAGAATAAAATCTCGAAAATAATCTGAAATTAAAAAATTAATGACAGCTTATTATATATTTAATTTCCTTTGCAAAAGATATCTAAATTATTTACAATTTATCAGCGGCACTTTCACAAAAGTTATCAATGGCAATTCCTGACAATTGTCTGGAGCCAAATAAATATTGCAGCTGGAGAAAAATTAGGATTATAAAGCTTATGATTATTATCAGATTTAGAATAAAGCTGCTTTAAAATAAACTGATAATAAAGCTTAATATAATAATAACAGTAAATTTTTTAAAAAAATAAAGCTTATAATAATAAACTTTAAATTTAAAAAAAGATTAAAGTTATCCACCGGAAAGGCTAGGAATTTTGTTTTTTTTTAAAATATAGAGAAAAAAAGAGTGCTGGCGTCCTCACTTAAGAGGCTCATTAAGTCTTAAACTCATTATAGTCCTAACATGTCACCACATATACAGCCACGGACGTTCACAACTGTATCAGCAACACCTAGACACCAGCGACAGCCGTTACACAACAATTATTTCATTGCGATTCAAAATTGAACATCACATAAAGTAATGATCCAGCAGCAGGTTCACCTACAGCTACCTTGTTACGACTTTTGCCCGGTTCAAGCCACTGCGATTAAATTGGTTTCCATCAAAATAATTTAGATAAATTAAATCAACGGTCCCCAAATTTCTCGAAATGGCTCAGTCCCGGGCAGCGACGGGCGGTGTGTACAAAGGGCAGGGACGTAATCAACGCGAGCTGATGACTCGCACTTACTTGGAATTCCTCGTTCACGGAAAATAATTGCAATTTCCGATCCCAATCACGGCAAATTTTCAATGGTTTACCCGCCCCTTTCAGGGTAGGACAAGCACGTTGATTTTGCCAGTGTAGCGCGCGTGCAGCCCCGGACATCTAAGGGCATCACAGACCTGTTATTGCTCAATTTCTTTCGGCTGAACGCCGCAAATCCCTCTAAGAAGCTGTATACACAAAGAGTATGTACCAACTATTTAGTAGGTTAGAGTCTCGCTCGTTATCGGAATAAACCAGACAAATCACTCCACGAACTAAGAACGGCCATGCACCACCATCCACTGAATCATGAAAAAGCTATCAATCTGTCAATCCTCACAGTGTCCGGGCCGGGTGAGTTTCCCCGTGTTGAGTCAAATTAAGCCGCAGGCTCCACTCCTGGTGGTGCCCTTCCGTCAATTCCTTTAAGTTTCAGCTTTGCAACCATACTTCCCCCGGAACCGGAAGACTTTCGTTTCCGGGAAGCTCCCCACCAAGGCAATATAATTTCCATCAGCGGATCGCTAGTTGGCATCGTTTACGGTCAGAACTAGGGCGGTATCTGATCGCCTTCGAACCTCTGACTTTCGTTCTTGATTAATGAAGACATTCTTGGCAAATGCTTTCGCTGTAGTTTGTCTGGCCACGGTCCAAGAATTTCACCTCTCACGGGGCCATACAAATGCCCCCGTTTGTCTCTGTTAACCATTATCTCAGTCCGTAAAACCAATAAAACTGAACCGAAATCGTTTTCTATTATTCCATGCACGATCATTCAAGCGAAAACGCCTGTTTGAAGCACTCTGATTTGTTCAAAGTAAACTTGCAATGACTGTTAAGAATCCTGTTAAGGACTCAAAACCGAACATTACGATAAATCGATAACACCCAGAAACACCCGAAGGGTTCCAAGGTACCGATACGAATCCAACTACGAGCTTTTTAACCGCAGCAATAATTCTATGTATTAGCAGAGCTGGAATTACCGCGGCTGCTGGCACCAGACTTGCCCTCTGCTTGATACTCGTTAAAGGGTTTAAATTGTACCCATTCCGATGACCGGCCTCAAAGAGAACAGTCTCGTTATTTCTCGTCACTACCTCCTCGAGCCGAGAGTGGGTAATTTGCGCGCCTGCTGCCATCCTTAGACGTAGTGGCCATTTCTCAGGCCCCTTCTCCGGAGTCGAACCCTGATCCTCCGTTATCCGTCACATCACGGGAGTCGATTATGCTACCGTCAAGTTGATAAAGTGGACGCTTGAAAGACACGCCGCCGGCACAAGGCCATGCGGTCAGCTTAGTTATTCTGAGTCAACAAGAAGCAGCCGAAGCCGCGTGGTTTTGTTCTAATAAATGCGCTTTTCCGTGAGGACAAAGCTTTGGTGCATGTATTAGCTCTAGCTTTTCCACAGTTATCCATTTAGATAATCAAGATCAAGTAAATCATGGCCATTGTAATGAGCCGTTCGCGGTTTCTCGTTAAAACGATTAAACTTATACATGCATGGCTTAATCTTTGAAATGAACACATCAGTTCAGGCAGGATCAACCAGATATCTTTTATTTAGGTAGTTAGCAGAGCTGGAATTACCCAGTCTGCGGGTAATTAAGCTGTCATTAATATTGATTATATTGATAATTTTGGAATAAAATCTCGAAAATAATCTGAAATTAAAAATTAATGACAGCTTATTATATATTTAATTTCCTTTGCAAAAGATATCTAAATTATTTACAATTTATCAGCGGCACTTTCACAAAAGTTATCAATGGCAATTCCTGACAATTGTCTGGAGCCAAATAAATATTGCAGCTGGAGAAAAATTAGGATTATAAAGCTTATGATTATTATCAGATTTAGAATAAAGCTGCTTTAAAATAAACTGATAATAAAGCTTAATATAATAATAACAGTAAATTTTTTAAAAAAATAAAGCTTATAATAATAAACTTTAAATTTAAAAAAAGATTAAAGTTTATTATTATAAGCTTTATTTTTTTTAAAAAATTTAATTCTTCAAAAAAATTTTTTTAATCCTAATTTTCCTCCCACACATTTTTATAATTGCCCATTTTCTTTTTGCCTTAAACCATTCCCGCGAACAGCGAACAACAAATAGCCCCGCCCACTTTGCCTTAGAGAATTTTTTCTTAAATATTGAGAAATTGAAAACACAGTGATTACGACCATACCGCGTTGAAAGCACGCCATCCCGTCCGATCTGGCAAGTTAAGCAACGCTGGGCTTCCTTAGTACTTGGAACGGAGACGTCCTGGGAATCGGGGGTGTCGTAATCTTTTTTTAATGCTTTGGCAAAAACTTGAGTCTAAGAAAACACACTTGAGTCTATAGAAAACAATTATTTAACTTTTTTATAAATTGTAGTTTATATATACATACCTTTACTTGAGTATATATTTTACTTGAGTCGATTATTTGATTGCCTTGGGTAAATTTGATTGACTGGGGGGGGGATTTTTAATCGGATCGTCACAGACTCATAAACCAAAAATGCCTGGTGAAATTTGATTGCCTGGGGGAACCCTATTGCCTGAACCCTACGACACTTGGTCAATTGCACTTTGGTCTACTTTGCCTGAGGCAATTTACCGCGTTGAAAGCACGCCATCCCGTCCGATCTGGCAAGTTAAGCAACGCTGGGCTTCCTTAGTACTTGGAACGGAGACGTCCTGGGAATCGGGGGTGTCGTAATCTTTTTTTAATGCACTTTGGTCTACTTTCAATTGCACTTTGGTCTACTTTGCCTGAGGCAATTTTTAATCGGATCGTCACAGACTCATAAAGCCAATTCTTTTCCCGAAGTTACGAATCTAATTTGCCGACTTCCCTTACCTACATTATTCTATCGACTAGAGGCTGTTCACCTTGGAGACCTGCTGCGGATATGGGTACGATCAGGCAGGAGATTTTAAATTGCCTCCCTCGTATTTTCACGGCTCATGTGGAGCACACGGGACACAACAGGAACCGCTGCGCTTTACGAGACCAGCATCCCTATTTCAGGCTGAGCCACTTCCAGGGACATGATCTCTAAACCAGAAAAGAGAACTCTGGCCCGGACTCCACACGAGGTCTACGAGTTCGTTTGCGTCACCGCGCAAAGTAATCCTTGCGGATCACCATCTCCCATGCCTGGTGTGGGAATATTAACCCACTTCCCTTTCGGCAACCGAGTAGACAATATACCGTTAAGTATCTCATCTCCCCGCAGTGTCTAGACGGCTTTAGCCGGTGCCTTAGGATCGACTGACCCACATTCAACTACTGTTCACGTGGAACCCTTCTCCACTTCAGTCTTCAAGGATCTCACTTGAATATTTGCTACTACCACCAAGATCTGCACTAGTGGAAGCTCCAGCTGGGTGCACACCCAAAGCCTTCATTGCAACCACTACGACCCTCTTACACGTCATTGCAAGACTTTTCACGGAAAATACAAGCATATGATGGCAGAGTATAGGTGGCCCGCTCCAGCGCCATCCATTTTCAGGGCTAGTTGATTCGGCAGGTGAGTTGTTACACACTCCTTAGCGGATTCCGACTTCCATGGCCACCGTCCTGCTGTCTGTATCAACCAACACCTTTTATGGTGTCTAATGAGCGGGCACTTTGGCACCTCAACTCCGCGTTTGGTTCATCCCACATCGCCAGTTCTGCTTACCAAAAATGGCCCACTTGGAACTCGTATTCAACGCCAAAGTTCAAAATCAAGCAACTTTGACATCATACCCATTTAGAGTTTGAGAATAGGTTAAGAACATTTCGTTCCCAAGTCCTCTAATCATTCGCTTTACCGAGTATAACTTCTAATGAGCTCCAGCTATCCTGGGGGAAACTTCAGAGGGAACCAGCTACTAGATGGTTCGATTAGTCTTTCGCCCCTATACCCAAGTCAGACGATCGATTTGCACGTCAGAACCGCTTCGGACTTCCACCAGAGTTTCCTCTGGCTTCGTCCTGCTCAGGAATAGTTCACCATCTTTCGGGTCTCACCGCGTACGCTCTTCCTCCACCCTACTGTAAACAGTTAGAATGGGGCCATGCTGCCCTTTTTTACAAGATCTCACATCAGACTCTAAAGAGCCATTTACTTTCATTTCGCTTTTAGGTTTTTAACACCCAAAAACTTGCGCACACGATAAACTCCTTGGTCCGTGTTTCAAGACGGGTCGGATAGATGACCGGCTTTTACATGGGGAGCGAGTACGAGAGCATTAACTGGACCGATCTAAATGAAAAGCACGTGTCGCATGCGACCGTAACTTACAATCAGATCGAACCAATAAATGCCCGTAAGCCATACTCAAATGTCCAAGACAAAAGATGCTAACGCTGTTTGGGTACCAGCAAGCTGGCCTCAAAACGGCGGTTACAAATCTGCCTCAAACATCCCCAAGCACCAAACAAGCAAATGCATCACAGAAAATTATGATGCTTCTTTCTGTCCCAATCTGGAGCTCAGAGATCACAACATAAAAATAATGTAAATGAATACTTGAAAGATACGCCGACTCTATCCGTTTCCACCTCTCCGGTTTCACGTCCTCTTTAACTCTCTCTTCAAAGTGCTTTGCAACTTTCCTTCACAGTACTTGTTTGCTATCGGTCTCGTGGCAATATTGAGTCTTAGATGAAGTTTACCACCGACTTTGGGCTGCGATCCCAAACAACCCGACTCTAAAGCACGTAAATATCGATCAATTATCTCAATGTACAGGACTTGCACCTTCTGTGGAACCCCTGTCAAGGGGACTTATTTGAGACAAAAGATTAAAAATTACGGCTTATACGCTACACCTCATAATGCCTTAGGCAAAATGATTTAGCGATGGACATTTCCCTATTCACTCGCCGTTACTAGGGGAATCCTGTTTAGTTTCTTTTCCTCCGCTTACTGATATGCTTAAGTTCAGCGGGTGCTCTCGACTGAGTTCAGGTCAAAAAATCAATATTGTTGATGATACATGCGAACAATTAAACATATCTAACAATCAATTTAAAACATAAAGAAGCCACAAAAGCAATTATACAATAAAGCTTTCGCTTTGAAAGATAATGACCCTGAACCAGACATAGCAAAGGGTTTGACCCCTATGCGGCAATATGCGTTCAAAACTTTTATGCTCAAGGCTGCTGCAGTTCGCAAAACTTATCGCAGATTGCTGCGTTCTTCATCGATCCACGAGCCTAGTGATCCACCGGAAAGGCTAGGAATTTTGTTTTTTTTTAAAATATAGAGAAAAAAAGAGTGCTGGCGTCCTCACTTAAGAGGCTCATTAAGTCTTAAACTCATTATAGTCCTAACATGTCACCACATATACAGCCACGGACGTTCACAACTGTATCAGCAACACCTAGACACCAGCGACAGCCGTTACACAACAATTATTTCATTGCGATTCAAAATTGAACATCACATAAAGTAATGATCCAGCAGCAGGTTCACCTACAGCTACCTTGTTACGACTTTTGCCCGGTTCAAGCCACTGCGATTAAATTGGTTTCCATCAAAATAATTTAGATAAATTAAATCAACGGTCCCCAAATTTCTCGAAATGGCTCAGTCCCGGGCAGCGACGGGCGGTGTGTACAAAGGGCAGGGACGTAATCAACGCGAGCTGATGACTCGCACTTACTTGGAATTCCTCGTTCACGGAAAATAATTGCAATTTCCGATCCCAATCACGGCAAATTTTCAATGGTTTACCCGCCCCTTTCAGGGTAGGACAAGCACGTTGATTTTGCCAGTGTAGCGCGCGTGCAGCCCCGGACATCTAAGGGCATCACAGACCTGTTATTGCTCAATTTCTTTCGGCTGAACGCCGCAAATCCCTCTAAGAAGCTGTATACACAAAGGGTATGTACCAGCTATTTAGTAGGTTAGAGTCTCGCTCGTTATCGGAATAAACCAGACAAATCACTCCACGAACTAAGAACGGCCATGCACCACCATCCACTGAATCATGAAAAAGCTATCAATCTGTCAATCCTCACAGTGTCCGGGCCGGGTGAGTTTCCCCGTGTTGAGTCAAATTAAGCCGCAGGCTCCACTCCTGGTGGTGCCCTTCCGTCAATTCCTTTAAGTTTCAGCTTTGCAACCATACTTCCCCCGGAACCGGAAGACTTTCGTTTCCGGGAAGCTCCCCACCAAGGCAATATAATTTCCATCAGCGGATCGCTAGTTGGCATCGTTTACGGTCAGAACTAGGGCGGTATCTGATCGCCTTCGAACCTCTGACTTTCGTTCTTGATTAATGAAGACATTCTTGGCAAATGCTTTCGCTGTAGTTTGTCTGGCCACGGTCCAAGAATTTCACCTCTCACGGGGCCATACAAATGCCCCCGTTTGTCTCTGTTAACCATTATCTCAGTCCGTAAAACCAATAAAACTGAACCGAAATCGTTTTCTATTATTCCATGCACGATCATTCAAGCGAAAACGCCTGTTTGAAGCACTCTGATTTGTTCAAAGTAAACTTGCAATGACTGTTAAAAATCCTGTTAAGGACTCAAAACCGAACATTACGATAAATCGATAACACCCAGAAACACCCGAAGGGTTCCAAGGTACCGATACGAATCCAACTACGAGCTTTTTAACCGCAGCAATAATTCTATGTATTAGCAGAGCTGGAATTACCGCGGCTGCTGGCACCAGACTTGCCCTCTGCTTGATACTCGTTAAAGGGTTTAAATTGTACCCATTCCGATGACCGGCCTCAAAGAGAACAGTCTCGTTATTTCTCGTCACTACCTCCTCGAGCCGAGAGTGGGTAATTTGCGCGCCTGCTGCCATCCTTAGACGTAGTGGCCATTTCTCAGGCCCCTTCTCCGGAGTCGAACCCTGATCCTCCGTTATCCGTCACCACCACGGGAGTCGATTATGCTCCCGTCAAGTTGATAAAGTGGACGCTTGAAAGACACGCCGCCGGCACAAGGCCATGCGGTCAGCTTAGTTATTCTGAGTCAACAAGAAGCAGCCGAAGCCGCGTGGTTTTGTTCTAATAAATGCGCTTTTCCGAGAGGACAAAGCTCTGGTGCATGTATTAGCTCTAGCTTTTCCACAGTTATCCATTTAGATAATCAAGATCAAGTAAATCATGGCCATTGTAATGAGCCGTTCGCGGTTTCTCGTTAAAACGATTAAACTTATACATGCATGGCTTAATCTTTGAAATGAACACATCAGTTCAGGCAGGATCAACCAGATATCTTTTATTTAGGTAGTTAGCAGAGCTGGAATTACCCAGTCTGCGGGTAATTAAGCTGTCATTAATATTGATTATATTGATAATTTTAGAATAAAATCTCGAAAATAATCTGAAATTAAAAAATTAATGACAGCTTATTATATATTTAATTTCCTTTGCAAAAGATATCTAAATTATTTACAATTTATCAGCGGCACTTTCACAAAAGTTATCAATGGCAATTCCTGACAATTGTCTGGAGCCAAATAAATATTGCAGCTGGAGAAAAATTAGGATTATAAAGCTTATGATTATTATCAGATTTAGAATAAAGCTGCTTTAAAATAAACTGATAATAAAGCTTAATATAATAATAACAGTAAATTTTTTAAAAAAATAAAGCTTATAATAATAAACTTTAAATTTAAAAAAAGATTAAAGTTATCCACCGGAAAGGCTAGGAATTTTGTTTTTTTTTAAAATATAGAGAAAAAAAGAGTGCTGG